AGAACCGAGAGTTGGTGTCAAACCTACAACACGTGAGGTTTGGCTTCGGAAAAGAGGTGCAAAACAGAGAGGATTTACTGAAGCAGAGGAATGCGTTGAGGAGTCAGTTGAACGCCATTAAGGACTTCGTGCTGAAGGATCCGGTGGCCAACCAGAGCCAGGAGACCAGAGATAAGGTGCTGTCGTATCTCAATCTAAACCATTTGGAAACAGTCAAAGAAGACACCAACGAGTCTTTCTATGGTCTCGACTACGATCGCATTGAAGACAACATATTGAGTGAATCCGTGGCCAACAGACGGAAGAGCGGCAAACGGAAGAGCACTGAATGCGAGCCAAACGCCGCCGAACGGACCAAATATGCGATGACTCGGCGCTCGAATGATGGCTTTCTTGAGCCCCACTTCGGCGACCGATTGGCCCCCAAAGCCGTCTTCGACGACAACATCGACTTGGATTCGCCGACTCTGGAGACGCCGGCGCCGCGCACTTCACTCAACGCCAACCAAATGCCTGACGAGAGGTATGGCGTCGTCTCGAAGAGCACTCCACGCATGGGTTCACTGAACTCACGGCTCTTCTCAGACGCCAATCGACGCAATCTTTCGCCCATTTTCTCGACGACTCCTTTAGAGGAGAGGAAACACAACTTAATTCAGAAGAAGGCCTTCAAACCGGCCTATTGTGGGCCCTGTCGTGAAGCCATTGGTTTCTTCGGCACATTCTTGTGCTGCGAAGACTGTCGTGTCATTTGTCACATCAAATGCAAGAGTCGACTACCGGTGCCATGCATTCCATTCCGCAAACCCAATGGAAAGAGCTCTCAAATGGTGTTAATCGCAGACTTCGCGCCACAAACGCGTCCAATGATTCCGGCGATCATTATCTATATCTGCAATGAAATTGAGAGAAGAGGTCTCGACGAAGAAGGCATTTACAGGAAGTGTGGATCCGATAAAGACATCCGAGAATTGAAGGAGAAGTTCCTGAAGACTAAGACAGGAATGTTTGGTTTGTCGTCGTATGACATCCATGTGCTCTGCGGTGTTCTCAAGCTGTTCCTCAAGGAATTGGACGAACCTCTCGTCACTCGCATTCTTTGGCGAGACTTTGTTCGCGCCTCAGATCAGGAAAATCCCGACGAAGAGAAGACACTGATTATGCAAACGGTTGAGGAGTTGCCGACCTCTGAGAATCCAAAACAGATTAAAGTGATGGAAGCGCTCTTCAGAATACCTGAAGACTATTGGAATGGAGTGTTGACTTCAGTCAACGCGTGGGAAACCAATCGATGTATGGATTGTCTTTGATTTTCCCTCAAGGAATTGGACGAACCTCTCGTGACTCGCATTCTTTGGCGAGACTTTGTTCGCGCCTCAGATCAGGAAAATCCCGACGAAGAGAAGACACTGATTATGCAAACGGTTGAGGAGTTGCCGACCGCTAACAGAGACAGTCTGTCCTTCATTATGGTTCACTTGATCCGTGTGGCCAACTGTGATGGCAATCGTATGGACAGCCGATCGCTGGCCAAAGTATTCGGTCCCACAATCGTTGGCCACTCGATGGTAGAGACAGTCTGTCCTTCATTATGGTTCACTTGATCCGTGTGGCCAACTGTGATGGCAATCGTATGGACAGCCGATCACTGGCCAAAGTATTCGGTCCCACAATCGTTGGCCACTCGATGGTTGATCCGCCCATCACTGAAATATTAGCTGAGAATCCAAAACAGATTAAAGTGATGGAAGCGCTCTTCAGAATACCTGAAGACTATTGGAATGGAGTGTTGACTTCAGTCAACGCGTGGGAAACCAATCGATGTATGGATTGTCTTTGATTTTCATGTCTTGATATTAACTTTGAATTTGCTTTTTAGTCGGATCTCCTGATAGAAGGGCTCACAGTAATGGTCGTCTCGGAACCATTCAAAGGGGAACTCTAACACCACTTCGAAGCACTTCCCACTCCTCAAGAGGAACCCTTTCATTGAAGCCATTGTTTTAATGTTTTAATCAAATGTCAGACAAGTCAACAGATATTTATTTTGTATTCATATTTTAATACTTAATCCAAACACTTGGAGACAAATTTCAATGCTTTAATACTTATTACTTGAATTATTACTTAAAAATATATCTAAAATTGTTTTTACCGGTAATTATTCTATTTGATCTATTATTTGGAATATTAAATATGTATTCAATTATATGATTATATGTATTGTAAAGAACTGCCGGTTCTATAGAATTCAGTATTTAAACAATTTTACTGAAATACTTGTGTAACAAATGAGAAATAAAATGTTCAATCGATTCGACTAAATGAGTGCAATTGCGGCAAACCTCGCATCACACTGGTTCAAAATGACCATGATCACTGATTGTTATCATCAACTACAGGATATTCATATTAATAGTATGAATGAGTGTTTGAAGTGTTTGTAAATTCATAAATGTTTATCAGTTTTGCGACAAACTAACAGTCAGTCTCACAGCCATTATGTTAAAGCAACGGTTCTCTCATTCACTGAACAAATAAACATTCATTCAGTTATTCAGTGTTGAAAACCATCACTAATTCATTGATATATTTAGACCATCAGTGGATCCATAAGTTGTGAGATTTGTTAAGACATTAGACGTAAATGTGTTGAGACATCAGTGATGGCTAGTAATGAGAATAACGGTAAGATTAAGGGACTACTCCCTCAAGAGAACTCTTCCCCCAAAGTGGACATCAAGAAGGAATCAATCACTCAGTATAATGATGTCCAGACCCGACCTTTGGACAGGTTTGACACCATTTCCTTGATCTACTCAATTATTTCTGAGTATTTTGTATCTTTAATAATTAATTGCAACTTTAACTTCTTGTAACTTTTATTAACGTTATACTAGTCAACTGTATTCTAAGAATTTCACATACCTGGCCTATCCATACATTGATTAACTATAAACTTAATTATCAGTACTAATCCTAAACACACTTTTATTTTCATGCATTAATCCATCTTAACATTGGTATAGAGAACGCCCACAACTCCTAGAAATTGTGAGTTTGAATGACATGAAAATATTCTTAATATACAGTCAATTCTGTATTTAAATGCTTTTGTTACGACAGCTTCGACAGGTGGTGCGCTCGTGTACGGCCCCCGACTCATCCAAAAGACCCTCCGCTTCTGAAATCAATGAATTACTTAAATCCTACCTCTGATGACACAACAGAGTCGATGGACTATAATTGAATGTTTGGTCTGCCATTAGGTCAGACACGAGAACACACCAGAAATCTAATCAAACTTTACTTATGAGGGAAAACAAAACTAAAACATGTAATAGACATACCGTTCCCCTACAAAAGTTTTGGAGTTTTGGTATTTGCAAGACTGTATGACTCGAGTCTAATTCATTTTGTTTGGTCTGTCTATCGAAAAATTGAGACCAGAAATGAGAAAACAATGCAATTGTGGATCAAATAAAATGTCATTTTATTGATAGTGAGAAAAGAGTGAATCAAATGGGAGTCCGGGTTATCGTCCGTAAGGGTGTATATTAGCGGCGGCTTTGATGTTAGTCTTGATAGTCGCCGGCGCTTTCCCGGCGCCCGCCCTCTGAGGCCCGGGTGTGGGCGCGACGGACGACAGCACCGGTGGTTGCGATGCCTTCATCGAAGTGGTCATAGCTTTGAGTCCTTTGCCGAAAGTGATGGCAGCGATGAGTGTCGTCGTGTCGGACATGAGTGACGTCTGGGTCTGGTTCTGGCGATTGGTTTCTGTCTCCCATTCTTCGCGACAATTCTTAACCAATTCCGTCATATTATTGACGATCTTATTGGCGGACGTCATCTGCTTCTGACTCTGATCTGCGCTCAGATTACAGGCCTTCGACACAATCGCTGACTCTTTCGACTCGATCTCGAGCTCTGGTTTCGTGCGAAGATAGTCGGGAACCATATCGTGATTGAATGACTGGACCCTCCCTTCCGTCAGTTTCATCAGCTCTTCGTCGATGTCTGGACTCAAGAGTAGAGGGAAGAGGACTCGACTGCGAAGAGGAGGCGTTTTGTCGTTCTTCACGATTTTCATCAGATTATGGATTTGCGCCGAAAACACGACATAAGAGTCGATGAATTGCGTCCACGATATGGACTCGTAGTCGTTCTCCAACCTCATGATGAATGTCTGCAACGAGTTCTTCAGGTCAGACACCCGATGGATCAGTGCGTCCACCACTGCCTCCAACTGCTTCTCCTCCCTGTCCATCACTGTCTGTCACTGTCTGTCACTGTCTGTCACTGTCTGTCACTGTCTGTCACATATAGATCACCACAAGTTGGTCCACAACATCAATGCAAACATAGGGTTCGCCACATATATAGTGACGACTTATCATGTGTTGGACGAGTCATACACTGCCCGCACAGTCACTGCACTCTTACATCGTTTCGCAACTATTACTCCATTCATGTATTCAGAAATCAATGAATTTATTGTATTTTCGTTTCAAATGTAATCAATTGATTGAATGACAGGACTATATGTATTGGTCAGCAATAGTGAGTGCATTGCATATACAATGGGTCGCAGTGTATGCAAAGGGAGTGCGTATTAGCAGAGAGTGTGTGCAATGAATAACGTGTTGAATGTATGGCTCGTATTGTCAGCTGATGTCTAATGTTTGGGTCAATGCAGTGGTGATTGAAGTACACAAACATTGTATGCATTACTCATGAAAACAAAAACATTTCACTTTTAATTGCATTCATTTGAATCACTCATTCATTCAATTCAATTGATTTAACGTTAATTGAAGCGTTTGTTTACTTTTATATGCAATACATTGAATCCAAATGTTATAACTCTTATCACATTTGCTATCAATTAATGGTTTGATAAATAAACACAAAACCAAAAGTAAGTCTTTAAAAAATTTATAATTAATTTTAGGTATATTTGAATTGTTTAGTAATTTATGATTACATTTATACACCATTTGTATGACGTTTTCAATATATGTGTGCTTTAAATATGTTTGAATACATGAATACATGTGACAAATGGATAATACATTTGAATGTCATTGCAATGAATGAAGGCTTGCATTGATATGACGTTTGAAAGACATTCACATAGAAAACAATGANAATGAAGGCTTGCATTGATATGACGTTTGAAAGACATTCACATAGAAAACAATGAAAGCAATGGTTTAGTGAAGAGATAACCACTGATTGTCTTATAAGTCAATCACTCTCTCAATGGCAGTGTTAATGACAAACACTTTGAGTCACAATGTGTTGTCTCTCTCTTTGTTTCAATTGGTCTCCACTTTATTATCCATTTATTGAATGACTTTACAATTTACACGTTATATCACATAACCATTGCTTTTGTTTAATTGGTTTGCGTTGAAAATATTTAGTAGTTTTATATGAAGTAATGACTGTATGTTTCATCATATGATCACATACTGTGTATTAATAATACTATTATATAACTGGTGTCATAATATGTATGTATTGTGTTTCAGGAGGTGGTGGTGCGGGTGAGCAGTGTGTGTGACATGACTTCGAGTGCTTCGTACCAGAGTTTCGCAGAGATCGGTGATGACGCCAATCATGTGCTGATACATGTGCTGCCCAGCGATGGCCGCAATGGGATGCGCTCGTGGCAGCACTACATCCATGACTTGGATGACTTCTTCAACAAAGTCTACAAATACCACCAAAAGTCGGGATTCGCATGCATTGTCTTAAGCAATGTCTTAGAACTGATTCAAATACTATTTGTTATATTATTCACAATATTTTTATATCATTTTATTGATTACGACATACTATTCAAAAACAAACCGCCGGCCGGTGGTAGTAATAACACATCCAAAGTGACAATCAGTGATGTGCTCATCCCTTACCACTCCGTTACTTATAGTGCGCTTGAGGTCTACCTAATAGTGATAGCACTGGTCTTCTGGTTCTTCAAGTTATTCAAAGCGATTCACTCACTGATTGTGAACCACGCCATCAAAGCCTTCTACAGCGAAGCGCTGCATATCTCGGACTCAACTCTGTTCACATGGCAGGACATCCAGAGCCGACTCATTCAGGCCCAACACGTCTGCCTCCTACAGGACGCACAACTCAATGAGTTAGTCATTCATAACCGTCTTCTCCGGCACCACAACTACATGATAGCGCTGATCAACAAAGGCTTGCTTCCCATCCACTATAAGGTGCCATTCGTTGGCGAACTCACATACCTGACCAAAGGCTTGCAATTCAATTTCCAACTCCTCCTCTTCAGGACCTCTTTCTCTCTCTTTGAGAATAATTGGAAACTTAAGGACGAAGTGAAGAGCGGAACCAATCGACTGATTTGTGCGCAAAAGTTGGAGAGATATTGCATTCTCTTCGCTGTCATTAATTTAATACTCTTTCCAATGGTAAGCCTCTGGCAGTTATTGTACATTATCTATACGTACGCCGAGGCCATCAAACGCGATCCATCCATGGCTTTAGGTTCCAGGGGTTGGTCTCTGTATTCTTCATTAATTTAATACTCTTTCCAATGGTAAGCCTCTGGCAGTTATTGTACATTATCTATACGTACGCCGAGGCCATCAAACGCGATCCATCCATGGCTTTAGGTTCCAGGGGTTGGTCTCTGTATTCCAAGTGGTTTTGCAGACATTTCAACGAATTAGACCATCAATTGAATGAACGACTCAATAGCGGCTACAAAGCGGCCACAAAATACATGAACTCATTCACGTCTCCCTTACTCGAAGTGTTGGCTAAATTTGTGTCATTTATTGCCGGAACAGTTGTTTCAGTTGTCATACTTCTGACCGTTTATGATGAGGACGTGATTGCGACTGTGAGTACTATATTTCATTTATTAATATATTAAATATACAGTAACTTAGCGTTTGTCTAAAGTTTAATATTTTGTGTTTAAACTACTATTTCCACAATTGGTGCCTATCTTTGCGGGCAAATAGTTATTAAGAATGAATTGAATCGAGTGTTTGTAATATATAACTTAAATATTGTATTTTTACATTTATATTACATTTTTTAGGAACACATCATAACTTTAGTGACACTTCTGGGCGCACTCATAGCCATATCGAGAGCATTCATCTCCTCAGAGATACCCTCTCGTTATACTCACGCAGAGCTCAACGCCAAAGTCCTGGAGCACATCCATTACAAGCCTCACGGATACGCTCCCTATACGAGTCAGGCCAGGAACGCCATGTCCAACGTTTTCCAATACAAGATCGTTGCTGTCTTTGAAGAACTCTTAAGTCCTTTAGCGACGCCTTATATTCTGTTCCGACACCTGAGACCCCGAGCCCTTGAGATAATAGATTTCTTCCACAACTATACGGTTGAGATCACAGGAACGGGAGATGTCTGTACTTTTGCAATGATGAACATCAGGGAGAATGGCAATCCTCTGTGGAAGCCGAGTGTATCGAGTCTTTCAAACGAACAAAAGGGTATTAAAATCGAGGATAAGTTGACGGATGTGCCGCCCCTGTCGACCAGAGCCACAGAAAACGGCAAATTAGAGTTAAGTCTAATTCACTTCAAACTAACGAATCCTAATTGGAGTCCAAACAATGACTCCCAGAAGAAGTTCATCGATAATATCAAATCGATATGCGATCCAAATGACAGTCAAATGATGAGCCGAAGTGCTCTCAACTCTAGTCTCAAATTGGGTTCAGTCACCGACGCCAACACTCCTCCGCCCTCTGACTCGAGCTCTTCTAACAAAGAACAAGACATCGAAAGCAATGCCTATAGGAATGAAAGGGAACGCCTCTTAAACGCTATTTCAAACAGTGTTACCGAACAGGAGGAACGGGCGGCTGCCATGTCTTTAAGCACTTTATTCTTACATCAGTTCGCGTCTAATAGTATTAGCAGATCGCGAGCCGACAGACCCGACCGACCCTCGCAAACAGAGTCACACCCACTCCTCCCATCCCACACTGATATGACTGAACATTAATTTATTGCAATTATTACTGACCCATAATTATGACAATTGTTATGCTTATTATACCATAAACACAATGTCCTGCATTTGTATAGGAATTAACAAAATGTTTATATAATTATATTATTAAACAATTCATAATTGATACAAACAATTAAAGTTTGTGTTAATGTACCGAAACATTGTCTCAAACTCCCATCTGTTTGACACAACAGCCCTTCCATCACACTATCAATTGGAATATATGTATGCCTTTAGACAACATTTAGATTCAGTGCAGACAACTAAGTTATTATTGCAAATAAATCAAGTGTCCAATCCTTACGTTTATAAGTAGTTTACATGCAATTAAGACATCCATTTAGACCAAAGAATATAAGCACCGGTAACTATATTGGAAACTAACATTGCCTCAAATACTAAATCATTGCTATTTAAATTGAATGAACCCAACAGTACTGGCAATTAAATTAGGGTTATGTCACACCTATGGCTTACATTTGATTGTAACTTCATATGAAATCATGGAGTCTTCATGTGATTCTATATTATGTTTCAACACTTTTGAAATTATTATATATCTTAAAATGTATTTTTGTTTCAATTATTTTAAGTTTATTTTAAGTAACTTATTTTCAATATACTGTACGTATAAATCAAATAAATCTTTATAAAATAGTTTATGGGACTATTGTTTTATTATTGAGTATATTTATAAGAAAATTAATTCTACGTTAGTTTTAATCTAACCCACAATCAAAGCTTTGATTGAAAGCTCAAATTACTTAATTTAATTCTGGAGAAGACGTCAAAAATAGAAATCTTTACTTATATTAGATTTGTTGATATATATTGCAAAACAAGTATTTTGAAACATTTTTGGAAGTTTCCATCCATTCCTTCCTTTCCCTCACTTCAATGGATTCCAGTTATGGAAAAGTTTTGTACAAAATTTTTGGAGAAATTTATTCAAAATAAAATGTGTTTATGAGACTTCTATGCGCTTTAGACTACAGTACATTATATTTATAATGTAAGACTTATATAATTTATAATTTATATAGACTTATAACTTATAATTTATAAGTATTGCTTGTATGTTTTTATAAAATGTTTTAAAATACTAGAAAAAGTAAGAAACTTTAATTTAAAAATAAGTAAATACACTAAAATTATAAATAAGTGAGCAAATAGCGTTCAATTATTTATGAAATGAAAATTATATTTAAAATTTTCAAAATATTTCTGTTGTCAAATTAATCCCAAATATTTCATAAAAGATCAAAATTATTTACACAAAATTATGCCTATATGTTAAAACTGTATATTCTTTCAGATCTTATCTACAGAATATCTATTAGAATGCATTCATGATTAGGAATATATCTTTTACCACATAATGAGCATTAATTTCAATTATGATGATAATTATTTGAAATAACTTTCATTAGAAATGTTTTAAGGCATAATTAAGGTCGATTAAATAACTAGAATTATCTCGGTGGACATTGTTTTAGGTCAAATAATAAATAGTTGCATTCAACAACTTATTTAAAATCATTTGGAAATATTCATCTCAAATATTACAGACTGTTTATAGACATCTATCAAAAAAGCCTTGATAGTACATTTAAAGTTTGTTTTTTATCATCGTGTACTTATATCAATCAGAAATATTTAAATTATACAAAAAATTGATCTGTGATAACATTATTTAATTAAGAATTCATTTGAATTATTATACTTTATAACATAACAGAAAAAAGATATTAGGATAACCAGAAATAGATCGCAAAATACAATATATTTAGTGAACAATAAAAAGTTGTCATTAAAAAATTTCAGATTTTTGTTTCGTCAACAAACTTCTCTGAATTTCCACCACTTCTTAATAAAATATTATTTAACAATTATATTTTATAAGATTTTAGTTTAAATAATATATATTATATACTATTAGTAGTTTAATTAATAAATTTAACAATTGTAAGCTAATTCTAAATAATTAATAACATTCTTGAAGATTATACTGTATAGAGCTAAATAACTTAGTAAGTTACCTAATACTAGTATAATAATATTTTAGTTTACCTGTTAATTGTAAGTATTGTTATAATCATTGTGCTTAATTTGTAGCTTTCATTTTTAAAATCAAACTTTACTTGCAAAACAAATTCCTATTGAAATAAATGGTCCACTTGTAGAATATACAGATCTATTTATAATTACTACTAGAAAATATTTATAATGTATTTATTATATCAGACCATAAATTCTACTTAAAAATATTTTTTGATTTTATTCCAAAAAATTGATAGATCCAAAGTATTACATCTATGCTTTATCTGATAGACATGTTATGATAATTTAAATAATAATTTATACTCATTTAATATTTTACAGATAGCAAATAATTTATGATAAATAATCATTTGTTTACCACAAGTCTATTAGAATCGATTCCATGAAATAAGACTCATTTATTTAGTCATTGGATAAAATGATTTTGTGATTTAAAATTACTAAATAGTGATATTGTAGCATGTTATACTGCATTGATCACTTGATTATAGTTTTGTATATTTAATAATAAATTTCTTTTTCCTTATTTACTGTAAATACAAATCAAACCTTTAGTCCATTCACACAATATCCTCATTATATACAAACTAACAATAAATTGTAAATATGTATTGTTATTGAGATATATTAGTCACCGAATTTAGTTTGGAAACGAGAATCGACTGCAGTTCTTGACAAACATTTACATTGATATTGAAATACTTGTGCACTAAACCAGTTATATCTCGTCGACGGCGCTCTTTAAGTACTTTAACTTTTTATTCAATTCATAGCTGGAAAGTGGATAAGAATTTTATCAATCTTAAGGATAAGTCAATGTTTTTGAACATCACTCAAACCCCAAACATTTTGGTACAAAATCAAAAAAGTCATTAGTCTTGAATACAGTGGTCTAAGCGTTGGAAGTATTCAGTACTTGTCTTACTTCATAAACTTTTATATTTGAGTTTTTTTAGTCGATTTAAGTTATGAGAGATTTGGGTCCACTTATAGGTGCTATAGACCAGGGCACCAGCTCCACCAGGTTTCTGGTATTTGTAGCCCAAACTGGAGAACTCGTAACCTATCATCAAATTGAGATAAAAAGAGTGTTTCCCTACGAGGGTTGGGTAGAACAGGACCCCATCGAGATCTTTGAATCGGTTACCGAAACCATAGGAGTAGTGGTCGATAAGCTTCATAAACTAGATATCAATCCCAGAGATATTAAATGCATTGGATTAACTAATCAGAGGGAATCGTGTCTTGTTTGGGATAAAGTAACCGGTTTGTCATTTAATGTTATATTATATAACTTATATACTAGTATAAGATTAATTTTAAAAATAAGATGATAAATTTTGTAATATGTATACTCCATTAAAATATTATTATGAATACAGAGATTTATGAGAATTAATTATTCTAAGGGCAAAAGATTGAATGATATATAACTTAATAATTGTTGTCAATTTGTATGATTGAAGGCCAACCCCTTTACAACTGCATTGTATGGTTGGACAACAGGACGAGTGATATCGTGGACACAATTCTTGACAACATTCCGGGTCGTGATCTGAATTGGCTTAAGAAGAAGACAGGTCTTCCCATATCCACATATTTCACGGCATTTAAACTTAAATGGCTTATAAATAATGACCAAAAGATTGTGGAATCCATCAAAAGTGATCGCATACTCGTGGGAACTGTCGACTCGTGGCTCTTATGGAAGCTGACGGGAGAGCACATGACTGATGTGACTAATGCCAGTCGAACACTGCTTATGGATATTGAAACTCTGGAATGGGATAAGACTTTATGCAAATTCTTCGAGATTCCTATGCAAATATTGCCTCAAATTAAGCCTTCATCCGATCACTTTGGGACCATCAAGATTGGACCCCTTGTCGACATACCCATTACAGGTACAGTTCCTCTACATTCTTTATAGTATTTGATACAAGAATAAATTTTGATAAATTTACAATTAATAATTTATACATTAATTTTTAATTTCATCACTTTGTTAGTGTGCATTAAAATAATAAAACAAAACATAATCAAAAATTTTAATGAAATATGAATTTTAAAAAATAGGAGTAATTGGGGATCAAAACGCTGCACTTGTAGGCCAGCGATGCTTTAGCATTGGTCAGGCAAAAGTGACATATGGGACTGGATGCTTTCTTATCCAGAACATAGGTCCCGGACCCATTCACGGTGCTCTCAGTGGTGTCTCCAAAGAAGCTAAAAACAAGTTGATCACAACCGTTGCCTATAAGTTAGGCTCAAATCCTGCGTGTTATGCATTGGAGGGAAGTGTTGCCATCGCTGGTGCAGCCATTACTTGGCTCAGAGATAATCTCGAACTCATCCAAAATTACAGTGAAATTGAAGGGATCGCCAAACAAGATGTGAGCGCTGGGGGACTATTCTTTGTGCCCGCACTCCAGGGTATAAATGAATGAATAAAAGTATAAAATGCTAACAAACTGTATGAATAGGTCTTTACGCGCCGTATTGGGACGCCAACGCCACGGGCACTATAATCGGTGTCTCGCAGTTCAGTCGAAAGTGTCACTTAGTTAGGGCTACTCTGGAAGGGGTTGCCTTTCAGGCCAATGACATACTAGCGATGATGCGTCAGGACAGGAGTGGCATCAAAGTGGACGGCGGTATGAGTTCTAACGACTTATTGTGTCAAATGTTGGCCGACATATCCGGGTGTCAGATATTGAGACCTAAATTGACAGAAGCGACCGCTTTGGGCGCAGCCATGATTGCCGGATATCACATGGGGCTCTGGAATATGAACGACCACGACCCTGATCAATTGGACTCACATGAGGGTCATGCAAATGAGGGCATTATCGGACAAATTACAAGGAGATTGTCATTCAATAAGGAGAGTAATACAACGAATCGCAAAAAATATGACATATTTTGGCCACAATCTGATGAACAGAACCGAATCGACAGAATCAATACGTGGAGAATGGCTGTCAATAGGAGTCGCAAATGGATTCGCGTCGAGAAACAGGAGCTCAAGAAAATCAATTATAAGAGGCTTTCGGCCCTTCCTTTCATGTTCTTTGTGTTGATGTCATTCGGAACACATATTCTCAGTGCTATTCAGTGATGGGATGAGCCCTTAGACACTAATAATCACTTCTTCGTTGCAACGAATACTTCATTTGACACTATTGTCGAGCACTTCCAGTATTGTATCACTTCTCAAATTATCATATTGTATAGAAACCTCTCTTTATCTCAACTCTTATACAACTCTATATATATTTTGTAAATTTTAAATATTTGTCAAATAAAGTGAATAAACATTTATGAATCTTAAGAATCGGATTCTCTCCCAAATGATTGCCACTCTTATATGAGTGATATTCTATGAATTGAGACAATTCTTACCATTTGAATACCATTATAATATTTATTTCAAAGTTCATAGTTTATGATATACTCTCAAGACTTTAAAACGATTGTATGATATAATCATTTGCAAGATAATCATTACAAGTACTCCATATGATATACCGTATGATAAACTGCTTTTAAAAGACTCAATAATTATGTTAATTAACAAAACAATCACTAAATTTTCAAATCATTTATTTGAATAAAGTTTTGACTAAAAATAATAATCATTTCATAACTAATTTCCTATAATTTACTTAAACATTGAAAACAATCTATTGATTCAAAACTGGAGACAATTGCCGAGAAATACATTTGAAATAAAGACAATCTTCATGACCACAAATTGTCACCTCATTTGAGTTTCGCGAACAATGTCTTAGAAACGCAGTGATCGACGCAATGCATCCAATCGATCAGCTCTTCCATACAGGTCTCCGATGTCTTCGAGCGACTGTTCACTCGATCGTTGCATTCCTTCATCTTTTGGTCGAATCCCTGGCAATGCTTTTGATTGCATTCCTCGCGAAGTACGACCTGTGGGTCCGTCAGCTCCACCTCCTCTTCCTCCTCAGCCGCAAACACTTTCGTCTTCGAGTCCAACACTTTAGACATCGCTTCCACTCTTCGTCTCCACTCAATGTCCTATCAATTGGTTCACCGATTGATGTCTTGATGTCTTCCGCAGTCACTGTCTGTCGACACAACTATGGCTTCAAAACACTTCACAATAATTACGACTTCTTCTCATTGACGCCACTCTTCAGACATTTCTTCATTAATTGTCTTTAAATACTAATTACTATTAAATTATATTATCTTTAATTCAGTGATCAATCGATCTCTTAGGCAGTCATGTCTTCAAACTAGTTCTTCGTTGGATTCAATCAAAGAGTCGATGAATTGGTTGTCGTTTTTGATGAGAGACCCAAATATACGAGAAAACAATGTTTGCATTGAATTGAGGGCTAAACCGATGACCCAAACGATGGACGAGTTGTCCAAACTTCAGGAGTTATCTCTCGTGTCGAAGATATGCACAGAACTCGAGAATCACTTGGGATTCAATGACAAAGATATGGCGGAATTCATCATAAAGTTGTCCGAAAAGAACAACACATTCGAGACATTCAAAGAAGTGTTGGACCAAAATGGCGCCCAATTTAACGAGTCTTTTGTGGCGAATCTCTTGAGAATCATTCAACACATGAGACCAAAGACTGGCAGTCAGTCGACGGACGCCGAGAAGGAAAACGCCTCCAAACCGGTCGACAAGAATGACATTCAGATGAAGAAAATCTTGTACCCATTCCTCGCGATTCCAAACGATCCAAACGTCCGACTTATGCTCGAAGGAGAGACCAAATCAGAGGACATTAAAGTGAAAGTCGAGCCGAAGCTCAGTGAAGACGATAAGGTGGCCATCGATACGATGGCTCTCTTGGAGTCGATGGCGCCTAAGAGTGAGCCCCAGAAGAGCCCTAAAAGAGAAAATGATTGCAAAGAAAGTGTGAAAAGTGAGCGAAAAAGAAGTCGGAGTAGAGATCGACATAAGAGCTCAAGAAGTAGGAGAAGTCGTGATAGAAGTGGTGATAGAAGTCATGATAGAAGTCATGAAAGGAGTAGAGACTGGAGTCGCGATCGAAGTCGTGATAAAAGGCGTCGAAGGAGTCGTTCGCGAAGTAATGAAAGACATCGCGAAAGGAGTCGAAGTAGAGATCGAAAGGATAGGCGAAGAAAAGAGGAGAAGGAGAGGGTAGCGGAAGAATTGCCGTCAGAACCAGTTGTGGGCGATATATACAGCGGGAAAGTGACTAATATTATGCAATTCGGATGTTTCGTCCAAATGGATGGACTCCGCAAGAGATGGGAGGGTTTGGTCCACATCTCGCAGTTGAGACGCGAGGGAAGAGTTAATAACGTGAGTGAAGTCATCCAAAGAGGACAACGCGTTAGAGTGAAAGTCCTGTCATTCACGGGACAAAAGACCAGTCTTTCGATCAAAGACGTCGATCAGGAGACGGGCGAAGACTTGAATCCTTCGCGCGATCGAAAGGATCCGAACGACGACCTGATGAGCGCCCGTAACCCCGACCGACCCCTTTCACTACCATTGGCCGGAATGCAGAAAATGGATGACGAAGACGTTGAGAGCCGAAGACGTATTGTTCAGCGAATATCATCGCCAGAGAAGTGGGAACTGAAGCAAATGATGTCCGCCAACGTGTTGGACAGGTCTCTACTGCCAGAGTTTGATGAAGTGTCCGGTCTTTTGCCTAAAGATGAAGACGACGACGACGAGGACATAGAGATCGAGTTAGTAGAGGACGACCCGGCCTTCCTGAAAGGTCACGGAAAGGCAAACCTCCAAGAGTTGAGTCCCGTGCGCATTGTGAAGAACCCGGACGGCTCTCTGGCGCAGTCAGCTATGATGCAGTCGGCGCTCTCCAAAGAGAGACGTGAACTGAAGCAACAGCAGAGGGAGGCAGAGATGGAAGGCGTTCCCTCTAATCTGAACAAGAATTGGATCGATCCGATGCCNGACGGCTCTCTGGCGCAGTCAGCTATGATGCAGTCGGCGCTCTCCAAAGAGAGACGTGAACTGAAGCAACAGCAGAGGGAGGCAGAGATGGAAGGCGTTCCCTCTAATCTGAACAAGAATTGGATCGATCCGATGCCTGAAACAGAGACCCGACCACTGGCTGCCAACATGAGAGGTGTTGGCGCCGCCACTCAAGACATGCCGGAGTGGAAGAAACATATCTCCGGTGGCGCTAAGGCTTCGTACGGAAAGAAGACCCAAATGACTCTCATTGAACAGCGCATGAGTTTACCCATCTATACGTTCAAAGACCAGTTGATTAGAGCGGTGTTCGACAACCAGATACTTATTGTCATCGGAGAGACTGGTTCTGGAAAGACCACTCAAATCACTCAATATTTGGCTGAATCCGGATATACAGCGCGCGGGAGGATTGGATGCACTCAACCCAGAAGAGTGGCCGCAATGTCTGTCGCCAAACGTGTAGCCGAAGAGTACGGTTGCCGTTTAGGGCAAGAAATCGGGTATACCATCCGATTCGAAGACTGCACGAGTCCTTGATTGGATGCACTCAACCCAGAAGAGTGGCCGCAATGTCTGTCGCCAAACGTGTAGCCGAAGAGTACGGTTGCCGTTTAGGGCAAGAAATCGGGTATACCATCCGATTCGAAGACTGCACGAGTCCTGAGACTCGAATCAAGTACATGACGGACGGTATGCTTCTGAAGGAGTGTCTCGTCGATCCCGATATGAAACAATACGCCGTCATTATGTTAGACGAAGCGCACGAGCGGACCATTAGTACCGACGTTTTGTTTGGTCTCCTGAAGAATACAGTGAAGAGGAGACCAGAAATGAAGCTAATCGTGACGTCTGCCACTCTCGATGCCGTCAAGTTCTCGCAGTATTTCTTCGAAGCGCCCATTTTTACGATCCCCGGCCGCACTTTCCCCGTAGAGATCATGTACACCAAAGAACCCGAAACTGATTATTTGGACGCTTCACTCATTACTGTTATGCAAATCCATTTGACTGAACCGCCCGGAGATATACTCCTCTTCCTGACGGGTCAGGAGGAGATCGACACGGCCTGTGAGATACTGTACGAGAGAATGAAGTGTTTGGGTCCAGAGGTTCCCGAATTGNCGAAACTGATTATTTGGACGCTTCACTCATTACTGTTATGCAAATCCATTTGACTGAACCGCCCGGAGATATACTCCTCTTCCTGACGGGTCAGGAGGAGATCGACACGGCCTGTGAGATACTGTACGAGAGAATGAAGTGTTTGGGTCCAGAGGTTCCCGAATTGGTTATTCTTCCGGTGTATTCAGCCCTTCCCAGCGAAATGCAGACCCGGATCTTCGAGCCCACTCCTCCCGGCTCTCGAAAAGTGGTAATCGCGACCAATATCGCAGAGACTTCGCTCACAATCGATGGCATCTATTATGTGGTCGATCCGGGATTTGTTAAGCAAAACGTCTATAACTCTAAGACGGGAATGGACTCACTTATAGTGACGCCTATATCTCAGGCACAGGCGAAGCAACGAGCTGGTCGTGCGGGTCGTACTGGTCCGGGAAAGTGCTATCGATTATATACAGAGCGCGCCTATAGGGACGAGATGTTGACGACACCCGTCCCAGAGATCCAGAGAACAAATTTAGCCGAAACTGTGCTTCAATTGAAAGCCATGGGAATCAACGACTTGCTGTCGTTTGACTTCATGGACGCACCGCCCACTGAGACCCTGATCATGGCGTTGGAACAGTTGCACTCTCTGAGCGCACTCGATGACGAGGGACTGCTCACCCGATTGGGGCGACGAATGGCTGAGTTCCCACTGGAGCCGAGACTCTGCAAAATGTTGATAATGTCTGTGAATCTGGGCTGCAGTGACGAGATCCTGATGAGTCAAGTGATCGCCTTCTAGTTGGTTGAACTTCGCCTTCTTCTGGTCGGCCAACGCCTGCTTGTCTTTGGGCCTATAGAACACGTTCTGCACCGAAAGCATCGACACAATCGTCAGGATCTCGTCGGTGCGTCCATGAAGTCAAACTGATAGCAATTTTCATTATTCACCACGAGTCATTTGACCTAGAAATATTCAAAATTGCACTTTTACCATCATGCAACTCAGGAACAAAAACTAAACTTTTTCAAAAAAAATTTTCATAAAGTACGTCTAAATATCTACGTTGTTTATGGACGAATTTATTTTTAAACGTTATTTTTGAATTCCGTAACCTAACCTAAAATTGTTTGCATCCATAAATAACGTGTTTGAATTTGTAGGTTAAATGACTCCTTGGTCAAATGACCGAATACCATTTTGTATTGAATTACCCTTTCCCTTAGGGAGTTGGCATTTCCACGGGGAAACCCCATTTCCCTCGTAGAAACACCAGTTCCCCGTAGGGAGTTTGCATTCCCACTGGCAAAGTCCAATTCCTTCGTGGAAACATCGAAATTCCAATAGAAATACATTAACTCCACGAGAAGTTAGAAGGTGTGTCCAAAAACACCGTAATCCCCATAGAAATACATTATGTCTATGAGAAGTTAGTGGTTGTGTCCAAAAACATCGAAATCCCCATAGAAATACATTATGTCTACGAGAAGTTAGGTGATGTGTCAAAAAACATCGAAATCCCCATAGAAATACATTATGTCTATGAGAAGTTAGTGGTTGTGTCCAAAAACATCGAAATCCCCATAGAAATACATTGTCTATGAGAAGTTAGTGCAACACAGGTTTTTGTAGCTTTAGGGGTATCTTTATGTAATACAGATACTGAAGTTAGTGGTTGTGTCCAAAAACATCGAAATCCCCATAGAAATACATTATGTCTATGAGAAGTTAGTGGTTGTGTCCAAAATCTAAAGAAGCCTGTCCATTGGGTACGTTAAGTTGCCTAAGCCGGCAATGGGGATTTTTTGGTTGGATATGAAAGAACATTCTATGCTGAGTCCGAATATATAATTTATATTATCCTGTGACCTCGGGTTCGACCGCAGTGACCACTTTTATAGAGAAAAGTTTTTAAGGAAATATTAACATATAATATATTAAATCAATGTAGAATTTAACGTAGAATTTAACGTAGAATAAGAATATCTTACTCAAAATAATATAAAACTAATATTTAATCAAATATAGATAAAAATAATTATTTTAATAATTAAAAATCCCTATTTTATTAAATAAATCCACGTAATTTATGGATGAAAATTATATATATTTATTGAGGGGCTGATGGTGGGATTGTGGAGGACAGTGGGTGGGTGATGGTTTCAGGTGGGATGGGTGGGTGTGCAGTTATCTTATTTTATTTTTGCAAAACCTTGAAATTATAATTTATTAACAAATTTCTTTTTAAAACTTGTCTAAAATATTTTGAGTAAGATATTCTTATTCTACGTTAGATTCTACACTGATTTAATATATCATATGTTAATATTTTCATTAAACCTTTTCCCGATAAAAGTGGTCACTGCGGCCGAACCCGACGTCATAGGACAATATAAATTACATCAAAAATCCCGATTGCCAGCTTAGGCAGAATTGGACGATCTCCTTTAATTGTCAATTTATTAATCAATTTATCAATAATTTAAATAAATCTAATAATACACTTTTGATACGATATAAACTGTACAAAAAATCAATTCAAATCAAAAGAATGCAGAAAATCATGATTTGAATGAGCGATCACTTAATTCCTTCGGCGCCTAACTCTAGATATCCTCCAAGAGTTTGGTTCTTCATATTTGTTGTAAAGCGGTTCCAAACGGAGCTGTTTCTTGTGTTTACTGAGTTTGGAGGGATCGGCGAACTTGATACTTAATTCCTTCGGCGCCTAACTCTAGATATCCTCCAAGAGTTTGGTTCTTCATATTTGTTGTAAAGCGGTTCCAAACGGAGCTGTTTCTTGTGTTTACTGAGTTTGGAGGGATCGGCGAACTTGAAGAATGACGGCGCGAACTCGACCAACCATTTGGGGTCAATTGTGGTCACTTCACGCATGTACTCCTTGGTGGTGAGCACCAGTTCGTGGTATACAACCCATTCGGGCTGTCGGTTGAACAGAGAGCTGGACGGGTGGATGTAGACCACCTGCGAGTCGACGAGTGTCCGGTAGCCCTCTTGCGGGTCCTTTTTGGCGGCATTTCTGAAGAAACCGCTGCAAATGGCTTTCTGGACGCGCGCCGTATTCTTAGCGCACGAAAACACATCCAACTTATGTCTGTCCATAATTCCCAACAACTGTTTCCTCACATCCTGTGCTCTCTTAAGAGTTCTGATTTGAACGAAGTTCTCATAACACCAGGGATTCGAGAACTTGTTGTTCTTCCAGGAGTTATACACCGCGAGAAGAGTCAAGTGATCGCCTTCTAGTTGGTTGAACTTCGCCTTCTTCTGGTCGGCCAACGCCTGCTTGTCTTTGGGCCTATAGAACACGTTCTGCACCGAAAGCATCGACACAATCGTCAGGATCTCGTCTGAGTCAAGTGATCGCCTTCTAGTTGGTTGAACTTCGCTTTCTTCTGGTCGGCCAACGCCTGCTTGTCTTTGGGCCTATAGAACACGTTCTGCACCGAAAGCATCGACACAATCGTCAGGATCTCGTCACTGCAGCCCAGATTCACAGACATTATCAACATTTTGCAGAGTCTCGGCTCCAGTGGGAACTCAGCCATTCGTCGCCCCAATCGGGTGAGCAGTCCCTCGTCATCGAGTGCGCTGAGAGAGTGCAACTGTTCCAACGCCATGATAAGGGTCTCAGTGGGCGGCGCGTCCATGAAGTCAAACGATAGCAAGTCGTTGATTCCCATGGCTTTCAATTGAAGCACAGTTTCGGATAAATTTGTTCTCTGGATCTCTGGGACGGGTGTCGTCAACATCTCGTCCCTATAGGCGCGCTCTGTATATAATCGATAGGTCTTTCCCGGACCAGTACGACCCGCACGACCAGCTCGTTGCTTCGCCTGTGCCTGAGATATAGGCGTCACTATAAGTGAATCCATTCCCGTCTTAGAGTTGTAGACGTTTTGCTTAACAAATCCCGGATCGACCACATAATAGATGCCATCGATTGTGAGCGAAGTCTCTGCGATATTCGTTGCGATTACCACTTTTCGAGAGCCGGGAGGAGTCGGCTCGAAGATCCGGGTCTGCATTTCGCTGGGAAGGGCTGAATACACCGGAAGAATAATCAATTCGGGAACCTCTGGACCCAAACACTTCATTCTCTCGTACAGTATCTCACAGGCCGTGTCGATCTCCTCCTGACCCGTCAGGAAGAGGAGTATATCTCCGGGCGGTTCAGTCAAATGGATTTGC